GGACTCTCCATAGGCATAATGGTTTTTATACTGTACAAACCATATTTTCTATCACCCTACACCTAAACCTACCCCTCACAGGAAACTTTCTGCATTTTTACTTTCTCAAAAAAAACTCATTCTGTATGATTTATAAGCTTTTGTACCCATGGAGACCTCAATTTAGGTCCCCACCGTGACACGAGTCCCCATGAGTCTGTGTGTATTCAGGTTTAAGTCCCCACCAGGATATATAAACCTGTACACACTCATACACACACACACACACAAAACACGGAAAACACACGCAAGAAAGGAAATCCCAACACTCGTTATAATGACACAACTGATATATCTCTCACACACACACACACCGGCTCTGATCCAAAACTAGTGAAGTGACTGTTCATATTAACGCTGCCTAATAAGATCATCTTCTTTTGCATCTACAGTAAGAAAGATATTTTAGGCTGCTTGATTTTCCTAATTCACCCATTAAAACATCTTTTACAGTGCAAATAGAGCTTTTACTGAAATTAAACAGAAAATTCTGAACTCATGCAACTTTATTTCCTTTTTTTTCTTCTAATGTAAAAATTAGAAGAAATGATATGCATGTTGAACTTCTGCAACAAAACTGATTTTACTAAACACCAAATGCATGTTAACATTATTTCACAACTGGTTAATTGTCATAATTCACTCATAAAACATCCTCTACAGTATAAAAAGAGCTTTTACTGAAACCAAACTACAAAATTACACATTCTGAACACATGCACGTTTCTTTTCTTCAAAAACTAAATTAATAATTGGGATAAATATTATACATTTTTAGATTCTGCGCCAAATGCATGTAAAAAATGACTACGCTAGTTACACTTAGGTAATTGTCACTAATATACAAGAAAAAACTATGGAGCGAATTTTGTGCCTATATTCATCAAACAAATCCAGCGTTTTGCAAATAATCACAATCTGCTTTGCAAAGAAAAACTCGACTTTCAAACAAACGCAAAATTATTTGCAAATACAAAACTCTATGTGAGAGAAAATGCAGAGGTATGGACAAATATATGTATTGTGTGTTACAACTGTGAGACTCATTTGCCTTTTTATGAGGAAACTTGGCTTGATTTTCTCACAAATAATATATCTCACATAATTTGCTCCATAAAAAACAGCTAAATAATTCCTTTGTCATAAGAAAATATATATTTTTGTACAAAAAATATTCGAAAATACAGTTTCATGGCCAATAAGAAATATTTTAGGCTGGTTCATTTCTTAATTTACCTAATAAAACATCCTCTAGAGTTCAAAAAGAGCTTTTAATGCAAACTAAACTACACAATTACTCATTTCTGAACACATGCAACATTCTTTTCTTTTTTATTATTTGTATTATTTTTTTTCTTTGCAAAGACAAAATTAACAATTGGAAGAAATACTATAAATATTATATATTTTAAACTTCTGCAGTAGAATTAATGCTACCAAATACTAAACATGTATGCGTACATTTTCATTATATAAATATATATATTAGTGCTGTCAAACAATTAATCGCGATTAATCGCATCCAAAATAAAAGTTTTTGTTTACATATTATGTGTGTGTGCTGTGTATATTTATTATGCATATATGAAGACACACACATGCATGTATGTATTTCAGAAAAATAGGTTATGTTTATATATTAAATATATTTCTGTCAATGTGAAAAAAAATGTGGTGCATAAAGACATTAGTCTGAATGTAACCTGGACATTACACACGTTCTCCATCATTTGTTCTGTTAATGCACTGTTAATGCGAGTGGACTCACGTTTGACCACCAGAACTCCGTAACTGGACACTCCGACTCCTTTCTCGGAGCGGACGATGCAGCGGTAGCGGCCCGAGTCTCTTTTGGTGGTGTTGACGATGTCAAAGGTGGCAGTGTAGCGTCTGGAGTTCACGGGTTTGGTGTCCTTCATAGGAGCCTCGCGTCCACCCTGAGAATAAAACACAACCGCAACAGAGTGAGTTATTTCAGTAACGGCTGAGGACACGACTTCTCTCTTAAAACCAAATATAGCTCACTCCAAAATGAATGTTTACTGTAGATATAGATCCAGCTCTGAAGACCGACAGTAATTCAGTATGTAAATATTTAATATGACGTCACTGGCGTCAGTTCAATTCTGCCCTTTGTGAAAAGTCAATGGAGGATTTCCAAACTTATCCTGAATATCCAATAAAGCAGTTGACACAGTGTGTCTGTGTGTGTGTGTGTGTGTGTGTGTGTGTGTGTGAGTGTGTGAGTGAGTG